TGTTGACCCTACAGCCTTCCTTATCTTAGTACACGGCAATTCCATACTTCAATTTGCACAGGCGTCATCCTTGATTCTTATCTTTCCCTCATAATTTTCATTCAATCTCTCAGTTCTTTCAAGAAAATAAAGAACTACCTCCCACCAGATTTATTCAACCACGCTGGCCCAAGCTAACGGCATCTCTTGCATTAGCTTTCTAACTGGTCTTCCTGTCTCCACCACGATCCCCTTAACAATCTACTCTCAACCCAGCATCCAGAGTCACCCTTTTAAAGGGAATGTCAGAACATGCCATTCCCTTGATCAAAACCCTTTCAATGGTTTCCTGTCTCTCATGAATTACAATTCAAAATCCGTACAAAGGACTTTAAGGTCCTCTATCATTTGGCCTCTGCTATGTCTCTGACCTCATCTCCATCTACTCTCCCCTTGCTCACTGCATTCCAGCCACACTGGCCTCCCTGCTGTTCCTTAGGCACCAGGCACACTCTCAGGACCTTTGCACTTGTTGTTCCTTCCACCTGGAACATCCTACCACCAGAAAGCTCACTCCGTTATCTCCTCTAGGCCTTTGCTCAAATATTGTTTCTCAGTGAGTCCAACCTCCCAACCCACTTCCCTTCCTTACTTTATTTTTTCTTTAGCGCCCATCTTACACAATATATTTTTACTTATTTGTTGGTTGCTTCTTTCCACTAGTATATAACCTCCATTAGAGCACAGATGTAACTGTTTTGCTCACTGCTATATCCTTGGCACCCAGGAAAGTGACTGGTATATTGGAAGAACTCAATACATATTACTGAATGAGTGATGAATAAGTTAAAATAACTTTTTGGAGGAACTGTGCCATAAAAGAGTGCACAGAAATGGACTACAGGTAGGATAAGGTGAAATTTAATTTTTAAGATGTGTAATATTACAGAATGCTTACATGCTGATAGAAGTGATCCAGGAGAGAGAGAAAATTTAATGACGTAGGGGAAAGAGGGAAATTTGTGTGGCTCCTATTGCTAAGTAGGCAATAAGGGATGGCACAACTGGAGGGACTGGCCTTAGATGGGAGCAAAGATAGTTTATCTACGGAAGGAGGAGAGAGGTGAAAAATATAGAAGCAAGTAGGCGGGATCTTGTAAATTTCTCTGATTGCTTCTGACTTCCTCATCATCTGGTTTCCTTTCTGCATCAGTTAAGATGAAAAAAAGAGAAGAGGCACTGGAGATTTGAGAAGCAAGGAGAAGGTGTGAAATGATTCTCTAGAGTTTGGGGATGTGCGTCAGTTTGGGGAAGGGAGTAGGATTGCCAGGCTCATTTACAATTAGTTGTCATGAATTTCGAATGAGATCAGTCAGCATGAGAGTGGGTGCCCCCGCGTGTTCAGGTACAAATACAGAAAGGTGTAGAGTTGGATTTAAGCAGGACTGGCTCTTGCCAGACAAATAGGAAGCAGTAAGAGATGAGCAAGGTTGTTGACGGTGTATGTAATAAAGTAATTACAATGATGGACCATGAGATCTAGGCTAGGTCAGATGGAATCTGAGGGTAAGAGGGTGAGGGTAGGGTGGATTAGTTAGAAGCATTGAAGGTGATAAGGTGAATAAATGAGCCCTCCTGTCAAGTTTGAAGAATTCTTAATCTGGGGAGTAAGTCACAAAGATAGCAGCTGCTAGTAGGAGAAGACATTTGAAAATAGGATTATGGAAGGATGCTATCATTGGCAGTAATAAGTCAAAGGTCTGACTGCAGGGGTGACTGGCTGAGATGAGGGGGAAGGCAATCTCACTGGTGAAGGGAGTCAAGAATTTAGAGGCCAGGGTATTGGGAAGGTCAACTATGTGAATACTGAAAATGCCAAGAATCAATCCAAGTGTATTGTTAAAAAGAAGACAACGGAAAGGTGCTAACATTTTTCTGGACTCTTAGAGCGTGACCTGGCATTCCACTGACAATTACAACAAAGAGCAGCAGCAGGTAATATAGGTGTACTGGCATAACCTTTAAAGGTAATAAGGGATTTTACGGAGAAGGCATGGGAAGTGATCTGGGATTGGTAAAGAGGAATAAGAAAGACACCTTCTCCCATTTCAAGGCTCAGTGATATGAAAGATGCCAGCAGCAAAAACGTGAATAAGAAGACAGGTTTCAGTTGGAGCAAGATGGTAAAGGGAACATTCTGAGAAGTGGTTAAGAATACAGGGAACTGAGACTCCATCAGCAAAAATGGCTTTTACTAGCTACTGTGCCTGACTATCCAGAAATTTACACTTTCAAGATATGATTTAAAAAAAAAAAAAGACAATTCAATTTTCAGGGGTTGTATTACCTTTTTTAACTTCTGTAATGAAATATCATAAACTGGGTGGCTTAAAACAACAGAAACGTATTGTTTCACAGTTGTGGAAACTGTAAGTCTGAAATCAAGCAAGGCCATGCTCCCTCTGAAATCTCTAGAGGAGAATGCTTCCTTGTCTCTTCTAGCTTCTGATGCTTGCCGGCAACTGCTGGTGTCCCTTGGCCTGTAGACCCGTCTCTCTAATCTCTTCCTCCGTCGTGATGTGGCATTCTCCCTGTGGTTCTCTGACTCCTGTTCTTTACGGACAGCAGTCATACTGGATTAAGGACCCACCCTGTACCACTATGACTTCATCTTAACTAATTACATCTGCAACACCCCTATTTTCCAATAAGGTCACATTCGGATGTACTAGGGATTAGAACTTCAACCTATCTTTTGGAGAATCACAATTTAAGCCACAACAGGGGTGTTGATGAAAAACACTACATCTTTAATGAAATGTGTTCATATTTTAAGTCGCTCAGGCTTTTCTCTCCTGCTAAGTGAAGCCTGGTCACCCAAGTGTTTAAGCAATTCCCATTGTTCGTAAAATGCACAGGCAAAAAGTATTATATACTGTGCATGCGATTTCAAGTCATGTAACACAGAAGTAACTATTGATGTCGTGTGACGTTGCCATTGAACCTAGTGGGACAGACCAGTTGGCTCAAAAAGGAAGCATTAAACTTTTAAGTTGAACCAGAATTTGGGGTCTCTTTCACTATTCCTGTAGCTCGATGATTTAAAAAGGTTGAATCAACTAAAGCTCACAAGTCTAGGGTCTAAGAGGGAAGGCAAGCTTGCACGATGCCATTAATATTAACCTGCTGGGAAAGTCTTGTTACGGCATGGAGATGGGAAGAGAGGGAGAAAAGTATGCATCTGGTTCTCTTAGTCACAGCTGAAACAGTGTCTCAGGGATTCCAGACTCTGAGATACTCAAAAGTGCTACCTATGGGCTTCCCTGGTGGCGCAGTGGTTGGGAGTCCGCCTGCCGATGCAGGGGACACGGGTTCGTGCCCCGGTCCGGGAGGATCCCACATGCCACGGAGCGGCTGGGCCCGTGAGCCATGGCCGCTGAGCCTGCGCGTCCGGAGCCTGTGCTCCGCAGTGGGAGAGGCCACAACGGTGAGAGGCCCGCGTACCGCAAAAAAAAAAAAAGTGCTACCTAGGTCTTAGCCCCTAGTTGTGGCTGTGACTTCTCTCGTAGTCTTCTTCAAAGAGTCCCCTGAGTAGGAGATGCTACTCTTCTGCAATGGAGAAGACCTAGGCTACGTAGTCATTTATTGGACACTTTCTATATGGCCAGCTCTATGCTACTTCTCTGACTCACTGCCAGGGGGGACCCCAGGCTGGCCTGCACCCTGTGCCCACTGAGGGCTGCTCCTGGGAAATTACGATCCCAAGGCTTGGAAAAAACACTAAGGGACAATCCCAGGTCCTCACATCTAGTGAGCAGGTGAGCAGGTAGGTACATACCAACCAAGTCTTTTTTTCCCAAAGAAGACATTCACTTCAGTTTCAATTTGACTCACTGCAAATTCTGAATTGCTGAGTCTAAATTAATGAGGTTTGTGATCCTGTGGGAAGTGATCTGATTTGATTCTCCTTACCTTGTCAGGATGGAGCTAGCATTTCAGAAGGGATGATAAGGCTGAAAGTTATTACGGGAAGGTAATGTATTTCATGAAAGATGCAAAATCCAACTGTTTAGTAGGGCATCTCTCCCTCTCCACTTCCTACACAGCTTGTAAGAAATGAAGTCCCACATTCTATTACTCTAATTGAATTTCAACTTGGGTAATTACCCTATAATTAAATAAATTTGTCCCATAGTTTTAATTCACTGACAAATAGTGCTAGTCAAACAGCTGCATTTCACTCCCAGAAACGCATCCCTACGCTATTTCAGTGATGAGTGGAGTGATTTATACTTGGGAGATGTGTGTATGAAAAATGCACAGTTCATAAAATATTTTAGGTATCATTCACGGTTACATATGCTTTTCTCAGCATGAGATAACATTAATTTCTATTATAATCTCTCAGCTAATTTCTCATATGCTTAGTGCCAAAAGAAATAAGACAGCTAATTAGCATTTCTTATTTTCAGAACAATTTTTGCTTGGTTTGCCAGTAGCATGTATTTTTGCTTTCTAAAGCACATTTCATTATCCCTAGGAGACAGACTGGGGTAGGTGCTATTGTTTCCCATTTTACAGATGAAAACACCGAGGCAGTATTCCCCAAAGTGAGGAAGCCAGCTCCTATCAGTACCAGCACAGGAAACTAAGCTTTGTCTGGTCCCCTGGACCAAGGCTCTTTCAATCAAACCCTTGGTCACTAGCAATCACTTCAGTCTCACTAGTGAGAAAATAAAGCGCAGCACATTTTTGACCTACGTCACAGGTCATTAATTTGTAATAATTAATGATTTAGCCAGGAGTCAGAGGCCAAAGAACTGGGTCCTGTTGCTCTCCTTGGGCCATGAGACTACAGAGATTCTTTGTGTCTCCATGTTATGACTTGGTACAGCTCAACTGGAAGAACAGTTCAAAATATGATGTAAGATTCAAATTTCAACTTATTTCTAAAGACCTTTCTTAAAGGGTTGTAGATGGCTTTTAATAAAGAATATTAAAAACAACATCAAAATACTCACAAAAAGCAGCAGTAGCAGGGGTGTTACAACGATGCCCTGAAAGAAATGAAAGAGATGATGATCTTTTATCAGCCTGGAAAGCAGGACACTTTCTTTGCTATTTTAAACTCTGATGCATGGACATGCTTATCCTTCTCATTTCTGTTTAATAAAATCTAGGAGATAAAGAAGAGGGAGCCCCACTCTTGGCTCTCCCGACCATAATGCCTTAGCATCTCTAGTATAATTATTCATATCTGGCATCATTTAAAGTACAACCACCAATCTTCCTTAAACTCGTCTTGCCTTTTTTAAGCTTAAGTTCCCTTCCACGTTGCATATGCATCACTTGGGTGGAAGCTGGCAAGATTTCTCACTCCAAGGCTTTCAACTCTAACTTGGATAAAGTGCCCCTTTTCAAGAGAAGACAGGTGGTTTAGTCCCAGTTGGGGTCCTCTCCTGAGCAAAGGACCACGTCAGTTGTGATGAATGGGATGTCATGATTTTGTAATGTGAACTGATCTCCCCTAGGAAATGAGCTGGGATCTCAAAACTCATTTCACTTGATTGGACTCCATGTCTCCATGGTGGAAGGCAAGTCTTTCATCTAATTCAGCCACCCAGGACCACCTCAGTCCCTCTGCCTCCAGAGGCAGGAAGGAGCAAAAGATTTGTTTTCTTCGATGACAGGGAACAGTTTGAGGCTGTTGTTGATGAGGCAGGATACAAGCTTTTAGGATTCTTGAAGGTAAATCTTTAAAACTAGGTGTTTGAGTTGGGAGTTAACATGACAGGTCTTGGTTTTACAGCAGCAGCTGATGATTTGCCCCCTTAGTTGTTCCTTTATCTCTCAACACTTTATTATGATTTATACAAGAAAAAGCAGTTCATATTTTTATTAATGAATTCTACTTGGAACTTTAAAATTCCAAAGAGTCTGTCTGTGTGTGTGTGTGTGTGTGTGTGTGTGTGTGTGTGTGTGTGTGTGTGAGAGAGAGAGAGAGAGAGAGACAGAGACAGAGACAGAGATAGACATACAGAGAGAGACTATACTGTGCCCAGGATCGAGGTCTGGGACCACTTCATTACTTTTGGGGAAAAGTCCTTTTGGTATTAATATATGGAAGCGCTTTTATCATTACAGTAACTAAATTCTTTTGGATGTGGCCCAAAGGGAATGGCTTACCTTATATGAATATTGCTACCATAACTTTTTTAGGCATATACACATGTTAATATCCACACACAGACTTGTTTTATTGTTAAATAATAGAATAAATGCTTCTTTATTGTGCAAACTTTCACAGCTAGCTGGCAATAAGGAATACCACATTTTTATTCAAGTGTTATATTTTAAAATCTATTTATTAAAACATGTATTGTGGTTTATCAGCTCCACTGGTGCCTCTGAAGCAAGGTCTCATCAGCACCATTTAGAAGAGCTCAATGTGCAAAATGCCAAAATAATTTTTAAGAGTTACTGTCCTTCAATAACATGGAATCTACTCAGACTCTAGGAGGAATTCCGAACTTTGTGAGGTCACGTCAAAATGGAAATATCTGGCTGTTTCAGTCTAGGTGGGAGCCATCTGATTTCAAGTCAATTTGTTTAAATGTCTATTGAATATCCACTTACATGCCAGGCATGGTTCCAAATAATTAGAAGAATTAATGAAAAGTGATCCGGTAGAAAAGGTGTTGGGATATTGCAGGAAGAAGGAAGGGCATTTGCAAAGCTATGAAGTTGAGCAGGGAGGGAAAAAAAGTATCAAGTGGAGGATTCAGATACCAGATCATCAAAGGTCTTGGAGGCCAGGAGAGGGAGCTTGGAGCTGATCCTTCCAACAATGTCAAACTATTGTGTGGGCCAAAGGTGTTCGTTTGGTTTTTTTTTGTAAGATGGCTCTAGTAGCACTTAGTTGTCTTTAACTTCATTTGAAACAATTTTGTTAGATTGTATTGTGACAGCTGTCATATCAGCATGCATTTTTAAAAAGACTTATCAAAACTGGTGAATTTTTGTGTAGCCATTTTAATATTGAAGACAGAAGAAAAAAAGCAACATTTTCTTCATATTATGCTTTATTATTTCAAGAAAGGTAAAAACACAACTGAAACACAAAGAAAGATTTGTGCAGTGTATGGAGAAAGTGCTGTGACTGATTGAATGTGTCAAAAGTGGTTTGCGAAGTTTCGTGCTGAAGATTTCATGCTGGACGATGCTCCACAGTTGGGTAGGCCACTTGAAGTTGATAGTGATCAAATCAAAACAATAACTGAGAACAATGAATGTTATACCATGTGGGAGAGAGCCGACATACTCAAAATATCCAAATCAAATGCTGAAAATCATTTGTACCAGCTTGGTTATGTTCATTGCTTTGATGTCTGGGTTCCACATAAGTTAGGCAAAAAAAACCTTCTTGACCGTATTTCCGCATGCAATTCTCTACTGAAATATAATGAAAACGTTCTATTTTTAAAACAAATTGTGACAGTCGATGAAAAGTGGATACTGTACAATAATGTGGATTGGAAGAGATCATGGGGCAAGCGAAAGGAACAACCACCAACCACACCAAAGGCCGGTATTCAGCCAAAGAAGGTGATCTGTGTATATGGTGGGACTGGAAGGTAGTCCTCTATTATGAACTCCTTCCAGAAAGCCAAACAATTAATTCCACCAAGTACTGCTTCCAGTTAGACAAACTGAAAGCAGCACTCCACAAAAGGCATCCAGAATTAGTCAACAGAAAATGCATAATCCTCCAACAGGATAATGCAAGACCACATGTTTCTCTGATGACCAGGCAAAAACTGTTACAGCTTGGCTGGGAAGTTCTGATTCAACTGTTATATTCACCAGACATTGCACCTTCAGATTTCCATTGATTTCGATCTTTACAAAATTCTCTTAATGGAAAAAATTTCAATTCCCTGGGAGACTGTAAAAGGCACCTGGAACAGTTCTTTGCTCAAAAAGATAAAAAGTTTGGGGCAGACGGAATTATGAAGTTGCCTGAAAAATGGCAGAAGGTAGTGGAACAAAAGGGTGAACATGTTGTTCAATAAAGTTCTTGGTGAAAATGAAAAATGTGTCTTTTATTTTTACTTAAAAAACCTAAGGGGCTTCCCTGGTGGCGCAGTGGTTGAGAGTCCGCCATGAGAAGCTCGCACACTGTGATGAAGAGTATTCCCCGCTCGCTGCAACTGGAGAAAGCCCGCGCGTAGCAACTGAAGACCCAGCACGGCCAAAAAAAAAAAAAAGGATGAGAAAAACCTAAGGCACTTTTTGGCCAACCCAATATTAAAGGGGGGGTATAATGAGTTAGTAAAATAAGTTAGTAAATGGAGAATGAATTTGACTTTGCTTCTAACCTAGCCACTTTTACCCTTGTTATCTATCAGTTCATCTAAATTCAGATAAAAGAAAACAGAAACATATTAATGTTAATTATGGAATTTCAATAGCACTAATAGCACTTCTGAGAAACAGTATGATTTCTGTGACAGGATAAGAATTTCCCCCCAGGAAGAAGGTTGAGCATTGTCACCACTCTGGGAACATCTGTCTTGTATTAGAGGGGTCGAACCCACACTGATGTCATATAACACGTGGGCACCCATATTCTACCTGGTGCCCGTTTCATTCTCCTTTGCAATAGTGGAAATAGTAACAGTATTAATAATAATACCAGTACTACTGATGGTATTTTGCTTCAGTACTTTTATGTACGTTTAAAAATTTGACCTTCCTCTACTGAAAGAGTTGGTTTCCATAATAGCCCCACATTATGGATGACGAAACAGGTTCAGAAAAGCCAAGCAACCAGCCCAAAATCACACAGGAAATAAATGTCAAAGCTTGGACTAGAGCCTGCTTTGTCCAGCTCCAAATCCTGAACTGACTCCAGTACAGCACTGGTCTCTGGGTAGCAGATTAACAAGCAGTTCAGTTTTCGACAGAGTTCTGCTAAGGACATATGCATCATGATTAGTTGCTATATGACCTTGGCTTCCAGCTGATCACCAATTCTTAGAGATGCTCTCGTTCTGGAAGGGAGAGCACTATTATCTCCAGATTTTCCCGCTTGAATATTTCAAGTGTATGGTCACCAACACACAACAGTTCTTACAAGGACTTACGACATTTGTTGCTAAGGTATTAAGTTTCCTAGTGAATAGGATGTATCTTCTAATTCTAGATTCACAATTACTCATTATTTTCTCAAGAGTGGCTGTTCAAGTTCATTAACTAAGAATGAATTGTTGCACAAAGCTGAAACTTGCTTTCCAGTTGTATTAGGAAAAGGGTCAGCCATGGTGCCGTTAATCCTGACAAGAGCACCATAATTAAGTTTTGGTAAAGTTGTTCTAATTATTATAAAATAATAATAGCTAATATTTATGGAGTACTTGTATTAGATGATGTGCTAAGGACTTTATGTGTGTTATCTTACGCAATCCTTACAACACTATACAGTAGGTACTGATATTATCCCCATCTATTAGGGAAGGAAACTGAGTCTCAGAGACACTGAGTGAATCAGGAAAAGGCAATGTCAGGAATTCAATCTCTATCTCCCTGACTCCAGAGCCTGTGATCCTGAATTGCATAAACAAAATCTTTGCAATCTTACACTATTTCCCCAGGTTTATATTTTAAGAGTAAACCTAAGAGGAGCTTCAAACTCAGTATGTCTTTTTGATGACATGAAACAAATTGAGATATAAGCCTTTGTGTGACATGGCTGATACATTTTTTTAAAGTTGCATTTTTGCAAATATCCATGGGAAATATCAATGGTAAAAAGGGTAAACTAAAAAGTTAAAGTGTAACTGCAATAGTCACTGGAAGCTGGAAAATCAAATAAACATGCTATTTGCTCTTGAATATATCTGATTCCTTCTCCTTTCTCTTTCCCAAGTAAATTCTATACAGATGGTTAAAACCAAAGAAGTGGTAGATGGGCACTTCTAGCAAAGGATGCTACCCAACTCCTTGCAGATTCAAGGTCAAGCACAGTTTTAGCATCTTTGCAATTGAGACGATGTAT